TTGTTGATTTGAGTTAATGACCAACAGGCCTCTAAAGAAATTGTTTTGGTTTCCTCCTCTTCGTTCCCCTTAACCGGTTGGTATATAGCTGGTGGTCATAACTTGGTGTATATGCTATGTCTTCACGATGGCAAGGCTTTTTAGCATAAAATGATCTTCTTGGTACCTGCTCCCCAGAGTGCTGCAAGGGTCCTTCAGAGAATTCCATGCAGTGGTAGTGTTTCTTCACGCTGTTTTATTTCTACGTGACTTGCATTGTATACCTGCTGCTCACATGTGCATGGTTCTGCACAGTCATGAGCCATGTTGTCAGCCTGATGACCAGTAGCCATTCTTGTCTTTGCCATGGTGCCTTAAATGTAGATGACAATGGAATGGAGGAATTGTAATACCTGTCAGGATACTAAACTTTATTTTGCATGGAAGCTCTCTTTTCGTTACACTATATCACAATTGCTATGTGGTGTCTGTAAAATGATATTCATGCAGTTTGTCACCCTGCACTCTGGAGAAACCTGCAAGCCACACAAGTCAGGCACCTGAGGAGTGTCTTTGAATGGAGAGTGTTTGTGACTTTCCTTGTCACAAAATGAGTGAACAACTGAGATGTTGTAGATATCTCCAAGCTTTTGTCTGGATGAAAAGACTCCTACAGGCTTATAGCCATGAGCACCTCCATGCCATGGGCTTTAGTATCCTAACCCTCCCTTCTCTGGAGGTTGCAGTTGTGTCTGTAACAAGTAGCAGATTTCAGCGAGGGTGTTGTTCTTTATATAAAAACAAATGCCTCGCTGTAATTCAGCTTGGAGAATTCCATCTACTCTTAGCACCTTGGGTAGATGAAGCCTCCTTCCAAGAGCCCTTTCCCTTCCCACAAGTTGCCCTGCCCTGTGTACTCTTTATTCTTCCAGTCGAAACATAAAACCCAGTGCTGCATCCATGCTTGAGAGCAACTGCTTTTTGCAAAAGCCTTGAAGTTGGGAACCACCATTGTTGTCTGTAGACTAACAGCAAAAATCAGCGATTTGGCCTAAAAGTAGTTAATCCTTTTTATATATAGCTGGTTTGGTGTGGGAGTGTTCTTCCGCTGTGGATCGTATTTTCTAGTCACCTGGTTCAGAGCTGCCTCTGGAGCAGGTAGAACTTAAACCCTGGCATCTTTTGCATACTTCACTTTTAAATTGTCTTGCAAATCCACACGTATCCACTCCCTCGACCACCAATGCTCAGTGGCAGCAGTGTGTACTATCGATAAGATGCACTGCAGAAATTCACCAAAGATCCCTAGACAGCACTTTCCAAATTCATGACCACTTCCATCTGGAAGGACAAGGGCAGCAGATATACAGGAATACCACCTCCAAGTTCCCCTCCAAGTCACTCACCATCCTGACTTGGAAATATATTGCTGTTCCTTTGATGCTGAGTCAAAATCCTGGGCATTGTATGGGTCAATCCAGAGGAGGTGAACTACAATAGTTCAAGAAGGCAGCTGACCACCACCACCACCACAAGTGCAACTTGGAACAGGCAATAAATGTTTACCAGCCAGTGACCCCTACATCCTACAAATAATGAATAAATTTTAAAAAACTGAATTTCCTCAAACTTCAGTTTCCTATTCTGAGTAGTACAGACTCCATATTGGTATATAGAAAACAGAATGTTTGCCTCTGGTTCAGAACGTCAGGGGTTCCACATAGTGCACTTCAGTACACAATCCAGATTGATGCTCCAATGCAGTATTGAAGAAGTGCTAAACTATTGAAGGTGTCATCTTGCAAATCAATCGCAAACTGAATTCTTGTCTGCTCTCGAATGAGCGGAAAAGATCTCAATACTGTTTAGAGAGCTGAGGAGTTCTCCCAACTTTGCTGACTAGAGCACGTAATCTGGTGTATTAGTGCATTATGGAACTGTTATGTACAAATTAGTTACCACGTTTCCTTCATTATGACAAAACATGTTTCATTGGTTACGAAATGGTCAAAACAGTCACAAATGTCAAAGCACTAAATAATAGCAATTACTTGCCTATTAAAGGCTGTCTACTAGCTAAATCTTAATACATTAATATTATAAAACACTGTTACATCACTAACCTGTCCTTGGATCCCATAGGCTGTTACCTTCATCAGAGTCCTATGTGGGAACTTTTGAAAAAGTCTACGTGGACCTCAGTAGGCCATGTTGAATGCATTGTCCTCCACTACACAGCTCTTCAAGAAATTTAATTAAATTAGTCAGACATGACAGCCTCTTAACAAAACAGTGTTGACTGTTCTTAATTAATCCCTGCCTCTCCAAATGCAGATTCATCTGTCCCTCAGTTTCCTTAGCACAGAAATTAGACTGGCCTGTTGTTTCCTGGTTTCCCCGTTGCTGTCTTCTTGAATGACAGTACCCCACAGGCTGTCCTGGAGTCCTCTGGTACCTCTCCTGTGGCTAGAGAAGAATTTTAAATTATTGTCTGTGCCACTATCTTTTCCTCTTCCCTTGCCTCACTTAACAGCCTGGCTTAGGTTTTATCTGGCCTTAGAAATTTATCCACTTTTTAAGTTGACCAGACCAGTCAGAATCTCCTTTTCTGTCTATGGTAATTTATTTAGGTATGCTACAATCTTTTCCCTGGCTTCTATGCTCACATCGTTCCTCTCGCTAGTGAACAGCAACACACTATATATTCACTTAGAACTCTACATATGACCTCTGGTTTCTCTCACAAATTACCACTGGACCTTTTTTAATGAGTGCTGCTCGTGCCTTAAACATTCTTTTTATTCTTGATGTACTTGTAACTTTTATTTTCCTTTTCATGTTATCTGCTTTTTTTCTTTTCTTTGCTATCCTGAGCCGGCACGGAGGCTCAGTGGTTAGCACTGCTGCCTCACAGTGCCAGGGATCAAGGTTTGATTCCAGCTCGGGCGACTGTGTGGAGGTTGTATGTTCTCCCCGTGTCTGTGTGTCCAAAGATGTGCAGGTTAGGTGGATTGGCCATGCTAAATTGCCCATCAGTCTAGGGTGGGAAGTGCAGGGATAAGGTTGGGGGTGGGTCAGGTCTGGGTGGGATAGTCTTCAGTGGATTTGATGGGCCAAATGGCCTGCTTCCACACTGTAGGGATTCTGATTCTAATTTCAAGTTTCCCCTTACACATTCTGTACTCCTGTAGGACTTGTGTTGTTCACCCATGCAATGCCCCCACTTCCTCAATGAAGAGACTGTAGACTAGCTAATGTAAATACTGTTCTCTTAATCACTCATTCATTTCTGTATGCCCTTATCCATGGCATGAGCTTTCTTTACTGAAATATTCCTTCCTTCCTTTGCTTTCCAGGTGCATATGCAACATTTTTCTGCTCTGTTTTTTTTTCCACGTTTTTGCTGCTGTTCTGTTTCAGTATGATATTTATTTTAAATTCCAGGAGGTGTTTGAAGTTTCTCTAACTCCAAAGTAGGCAACCTCTTGTAGATCAGCATATATTTCTGGCACAGAAGGAGGTCATTCAGGCTGTCATGCTGGTGCCTGCACAAGGATTACCTTGCTCCAGTTATTGCCACTCCCCCACTCTTAGCCCAAAGGCTTCATATTGTTTCTTCTGCCTCAACTATCTGGCTTGGTTTTGATATTCACTGATGAACCTGACTTCTACCAGGTGGTGTATTCCAGATTACTGTATCTAGATTTTAAAATACATACACTCATCCCTCTGGTTATTTTGCCAGTTATTTTCAATCTGTGTCCTCTAGTTATTGATTTGTCCTTCCATACAACTTTGTGGGAAATGGTGTTAATGCTCAGCCGTGATCAACCATGATCACTTTGAGCAGACTGGGCTGAATGGTCTAGTGTTCCTAATCTACCTGTAATAGTTTTAATTAAAATTGTGTTTCACGTCAAAAGTGGTCGAAAAATGAGCAATATATCTACTGGTTTATATAGTGGTTGGAGCCATATAATTTGCTGACATATGAGTAAGAAGATGCTATTGAAAAGCAACTACGAACTGTCTGCTCACCTTGTTTGAAATCGTTATTGCTGATGATTCAAAGACTCCAGACTTGTGTAGTTAGTTAGACCAGGCTACAGGGCAAATTGCAGCAGTTGGAGTGAAAGCGTAATGTGAAGGTGTGAAATGAGAAGGCACAGCACATTGCGTAAGATTTTCAAGTAGTGAATGTGTAACAACAGCTGTTGTAGGTCATTGCACAACCATTCAAGCAGATTCTTGGACTCTTTTTTTTACGACCGCTGTATGTACCAGAATTAATGTTTCAGAAGCTAGAATATTACATTGTTTCCCCTTTTCCTCATGAGGGGCTCCTGGGGTATAATTTGCCGATGTTTACAGGAATAAACCAACCTCCAGTATAACTTCCATCGCTCCTGGAGCATACCAGAGCCTATGGGTTTTTTTTCCCCCCTCTCTCTCTCTGACCCGTCTCCCTCGCCGTTCTCCTGTCTGTCCTCTCGCGTTGTATCATCTTTTTCTCCTCCGCCCCTTCGCGCTCCATTCAAAACATTTTTGTGTTGATTGTGTAGAAGCTGGGAATTTGTCGCCCTAAAATCAATATCTGAATTGGATCACAGGAAGCTGACAGCTGCTGCCTGGACTCTGCCGTGCGTTTCTTCAGAGCTCTTTGTTTGTTTTTGTGGATTGTTCTCGGGAATCTAATTTGTAATTTGGGTAATTGTTGGTTTATTACGGGGTTGGGGGGCGGGTGTGGGAGAAAGGCTGGTTTTGCGTACGATCGAACTAAAAATTGCAAAATCAAGCGCTGGGTCTTCAACAAAAAGTGACTCACTCACTTGCCCCTGTGTGCACGCCGTAAGGCTGGAGCAGCGCCCAGGCTCAGCGAGTGGCATCTGCATATGCAACCCATGCGTGTTGGGGAAATGCCAAAGACCTCCCACGGCCCCTCTCTGCTCCTGTTTTGCTGTCATGTGTGGTGGCACCAGGTGACCCTCCCAGCGTTCGCATTATAAAAGTGCAGCGCTACGTTCTTAGACTCTACCAGCAGCTGTGCTGTCAGGTTCAAAAAAAATCTATTTGGGAAAGGGCTAAGGGACTGAGCGCAGTATAAATCTGGACGGGTGTATCTTGTCCTCAAAGTAACTGGCTGCAGACTGCGTAAGCCTTTAGAAGGAGGAGGAGGTAAGGCAACACTACGTTACTTCGCTTCTCTCCGAGAAGTGTGTTTGCTTTTACCCGTGTAAAACTTTTCTAAATATGTAAACCCAGTCTGTTTTTCTATTTGGAATGTTTATAACTAGGCTTTGCGATCTCTTCTTTCCTACTTGCTGTCTTCTGAGCTCCCGCTATTTTTCATTCGATTGCAGCTTGTTTAGAAATTCAGAGCTAAGAGGTATTTTAACTTTTTTTCTTGCCCATGTTAAATGACGTTTCTGTGGGGAGTTGAATAACGCTAAACACCCTACTGCTTTTCCTGTTTGGGGGAGATTTTCAAATCGTCAGTACAGAATTGCTTCAAGAAAGAACTAGTGTCTGATATTGAAATTGATTGTTCAGCTTAGTCCCGGGTTTGGGACTGTCCTGACTGGTCGCCGTACCAAATGGAGGGGCATCCTGAGGGTAAGTAGTGAAGCCGTGTTTGTGTAAACTGGGCCCAGTGACCGATCTATGCTGTTTGCACCTTCGTGTACTTTGGATCAAACGCTTCAGGTGTGAACTATAATGGGTTTACAACCTGCCTTTCGTTTGGAGGAGTTCGGTACAGACCAATCTATTACATCTCAAACGCTTGACTGTGAAGGCTTTTCTTTCAAGAAATGTGGAAGGAAGTCATTTCAACAAATGTTTCAACATTTTCCAGCTTGTTTATCATGACTGGAGTTTTAAATATAAATAGAAAGTAACTTGCAATGACTTTTTATTTAAGCACCTAGACACAGAACGAGTGCATTAAATATATGTTTGGGTATTCTTTGCTTCAGAGCCCTCCTATCTAATTTCAATTCATTAGCACTCTGCATGCAATTTTACTGTGGCTTTCAGAGATATAGGAAGTTTTATTTTTTAAAGAAAAATAATGTTTGAAGTGAATCCTAGCATGGTGTCCTCAAATGATACCAGTCTAGCAGGCATGCGTAATTTCTGTATTGGTCCAAGTTGCAGCCAGATCTTCTGGGCAAATTATCTCATAGCACTCGTGTCAATCCACACCAGGCCTCTGTCAAATAAATTAACAAAGTACCATGGTAATAGAACTTGAAGGGCTTAGGTGCTTTGGAATTAACACTTCACTGTTTATTGGTATCAAGTCTGCACTATCCCCATAAAAAAACAACTGATACCTAGAATCCATCTGCAAGTGGTTTTTTTAATGGCTAACTTTTTTTCAATTTACAAGTCTCTGCACCTGTGTTGTATGTGAAGGGTTTTGTTAATGTCAGCAAAATGCATGTAAACAATCGTGTTCATAGTTTTTAAAAAAAAATGTTCAATAGTTCAGGTCATACCTCTGATCCAGAAGGCTGCTTTTTTTCATTTAGGGATGTGGGTCTCGATGGCAAGCGCAGCATTTGCTGGCAATCCCTAATCGCCCTAAGAGATGATGATGAATTGCTGAAGTCCATGTGATGTGGGTACATGCGATGCTAGGGAAGGAGTTCCAGGATTTTGATCCAGTGATAATTGGGATAACACCTGACTTTGGAGAACTATAGTGTTTTCATATGACGCTGCCCTTGTTAGTCTTTTTGAGTTTAGAAGATGCTACAGAAGGAGCCTTGGTGAATTGCTGCAGTGCATCTTTCAGTTAGTGCATAATGCTGCCTTGGTTCATGATTCTGTGTTATTAGAAAGAACGTAATGGAGTTTCTTGTCAGTTGTCATCCTGACAGATAACATTAATTATCTCATGATTACTTAATTGTTTCTTCAGTCATCCAGTGTGAAATTGGTTGCCCTATCATCCAAACTCACCTGTTTTTTTAAATCAGGTTAAAATACATAATTATATGTAAAACAATTTGGGACGACTGAAGTCATGAAAGGTGCTCAATAAATGCAGCTTTGTACTTCTTTCTGACTGGATTGCCAGCACGTGTCAAAGGTCTGTATAATGACAAAAATATTCTTGAGGGCTATGATTGTACAGTATAATCCAGATGCCACCTCTTGCTTTCTTATGGATTCTGCTCCTCCATACTCTTGAATGGAGCTAGAATGATGCTCAATAGTAGCAGTGTGTACTATCTACAAGATGTACTGCAGAAATTCACCCTGAGACAACACCTTCCTTCCAAACCAATAACCACTGACCTTTTAGGACATGGACAGCAGATACATGGGCACACCCTCTTCTACAAATTCCCCTCCAAGTGACTCACCATCCTGACTTAGAAATATATTTCTGTTCTTTCACTGTTGCTGGGTCAAAATCCTGGAATTCTCTCTGTCAGGGTGTTGTGGGTCTGCCAATAAGACATGGATTACTATGGTCAAGAAGGCAGCTTACCATCACCTGTCCCTAGTTGCCCTTGAGAAGGCAATATATTCTGGCTGGCCACTGAAGTCTACATTCCACAAGTGAATTAAAAAGAATTATCCATGTAAACAGAATTACACAAAATTACTAAGTTTTCTATTCTGTCCTTCCTTACTGGTGTGTGTTTTCAAGTTATAGTCTCAGCATCTCTTTGCACAGTAAGTCTGTATTTCGCCCTGTCTTTTGACAAGTGCTCCTATTTCTAGTACTAATTTTAATGTGTCCTCGTTCATTCTGTGTGTTTTTCTCTTGCATGTTTGCAGAAAATGTGGTGCACTTTCCTCATTTAAATGTTTCGGTTACTGAGCACTTGAGCTATATGTAGTTTATGGCTTCTGGTTCTTCCCGATGGAAAAAAAATTCCGACTGCTTACCCCGAAATTATCAACAACAAAAACAAATTGCTGGAAAAAGTCAGCAGTTCTGGCAGCATCTGTGGCGAGAAACCAGCGTTAATGTTTCGTGTCCAGTGACCCTTCTTCAGAACTAATAGTAGCTAGGAAAAAGTTGTTGGTTGTTTGATTTTTTTTTTGGACAGAGGCTTGGATGGGGGGGAAGGGGGAAGGGGGAAGGGGTAAATGATAGGTGGGAATAGAGCCCAAAGAGAGAGAAGAACAATTGGATAGATAACTGACTGGATAATGATCAGCCTAGGAGAATGAGTAGCTACTAATAGGGACAATTAGTGGCTAACGATGAGTTGTGTGTAAGAACAAGGCCTGGTATGTAGGGGTTGGGATAAGGACATAAGAGAAATTATCCCATATATTATCTTTTGTTTCAGCAAGTGTTTGTTATTTGTGTTTAAGACATTCAGTATATTTATTCCCTACTGTGGGAAGAGGTCAACTGTTCAGTTCTAGTTTAGTGAAATAGTTTGCAGTCCCTAGAAAATTTGTTTGACTGATTTTTCTGGACTTCTTGTGGTTTCTAACTGATGATCAGATTTTAGCCTTTTGCTTCTTAGTTTTTGTTGACCTGTTTTCTTACTGTGGGCACCTGTGAAAGGACATGATGAAATGACCGTAGCTCCACAATTGTGTGTTGCATTATCCACAACAGGTTTTATAGACCATCATCAAGCAATAACAATTTTTAGTTATGAATCACATTTTAATGTGAGTGAAAAATCAATATTTTGTAATTAAAAAATGGCATTGGACGCAGTCACATGGAGTCATTAGGACATTATCCATCAAACTACACTGAAGAGTATCTTGGAGTAGACAGTTAAAGTTGAAGAAGTTTTAGAGGAAAACTGCACGACTGTGTCAGGGCACTTGAAAGCCTGGTTGAACACTTAAGTTGGGGATTCTTAGGAGGCCAGAATTAGAGGAATGCAAATGTCAAAATGTAGTGCTGAGAGAGATTTGAGGAATGAGATTATGAAGTGATTTGAAAACCAGAGTGAAAATCCATTAAAATGGAGAGGCATTGCCTAACTGCTATCGAGGCAAGTCAGCTAGCACAAGAATATTAGATGAAATAGCACTTAAATGCCCATATCTTAATTTGTACTTTGAGTTTGGTTGCGCTCCAGTTTATCGGGATTGGAATACAGACATGATGTGCTTTTGTGCTCCGACTCATTGAAGCCATTTTAAATCCATTTAAGTACTCATGTCCCGGTTTATGTTTCTGAAGTGCTAACAAGATTGGATTTTTGCTCACTGATGCTCTCCATTCCTTTCCTATTTTTGCTTAAACATAATCATTCTCTTCAACATTATTGACACAGCAAAAAAAACCCTCGTTCTTCCCTTGTTCTTCTCACTTTCATTCCGTTGCTCAGTAATTGTCAGAACAGTCTGTTCACTCTTGCTTTACCCTCCCAGCAAGTAGCTATGACTTTGTTAGCCTGATGGAGAATGCTCTGTTTCCATAGCAAGTCCGTCCTTCCTGTTCACCTTCTGGAACATTGCCTTGTAAGAACTGGTGCATATTGAGAAGTATCAACGTGGGGAGCATGTTCCTGCAATTCTTCTTGAAATCTTGTGTAGGAAAGATGTGGGAGGGACATCAAGTATCCCTTTTTTGTTTTAAGTCCAGAAAAAAAGGTGTTACAAAGTTAGATGGAATAGCAGTGGCTTTCTATTGTGCAAAATAGATAAATTTTAATATCCACAAAAATCCTTATTTAAATTCAAAAAAGGCATTATATCCAAAGTCTGGCGATATCCCAGAAATGTCTGAAGTTCTTTCTCTACATTGGCTTGTGCCCAAGACAGAAATAATGGTTGTTTGTGGTCCTGAATTATGATCGTTTGAAGGCTGCCATGTGAAAAGCAACAAGGTTAATTGACTATTCAATACCCATGTTGTAATCATGTTCAAAGTGCAGGTTAGTTTTGGTGGTCTTAATAAGAGTATGAAAAAGATTTTTAGTTTTTGGACATACCTTGAAGTATAATTGTTTAAAAGTAATGGTAGGTTTATCAGGAATAAATAGACTATAAAGTAATAAATGACCCAATGAAACAATATAAGTAGTAGCAAGTGAGAATCTAATGATAAAATATTTTCAATTATTAGATTATGTTGCCCTTGTGCTTTATTTTGTTTAAAGCCCAAATAGTTCTCTGAAATATTATTTGTTTTCAGTTAGTGCAAATGTAGCTTCAATCTGGGCACCATTCATTTAACTGGATTTCGCCTGCAGTCAGCAGAAATGCTGAATCTGTCCCAATGCTGCCTTTCTTGTGATCTACTAATTAGCCAGAAGTGGCAGCTTTACCATAGTTAAACACTGGCCTTCCTTTTTTTTTTAAGCCCTTGTGATCTTGCTTTTAGTTTTAGATATTTTTGCTTGCCCTTTGTGAGACTTTGTCTTGGGAAATTGTTAAATATCCCTATAACTACAACAATCAGTGTCTCCACTTATTGGGCGGGGAAGGTGTGCAGGGAGTACTTCCCATTGGCTGCGAAATGCTTTTGGACATGGTGCCTTTCACAAGCGAAATAATTTATTCTTTCCTTTTTTAGTCTGTTTTCTTTGTGTAGAATAGTCCAGCAGAGAAACGGGTCCTTTTGGACCAACTAGTCCATGCCGACTATGTTTCAAACTAACCTTGTCCCACTTTACTGTATTTGGCCCATATCCATCCAAACCTTTCCTATTCATGTATTTATTCAAGCATCTTTTTAAATGTTGTAACTGTACCTGGGTTCGCAACTTCTTCCTCTGGCAGTTCATTCCACACACCTATCACCCTCTGCATGAAAATGTTGCCCCTCAGGTTTTTTTTTTCAAACCTTTCTTTTCACACCTTAAAAATATGCCTTCTACTTTTGAACTCCCTCACCCTAGGGAAAAGACCTTTTACTCTTCCCCTTATCTATGCCCCTCGTGACTTTATAAACCTCCAGGTTCACCCCTCAGCCTCCTATGCTCCAGCTTCACCTCATAACTCAAACCCTCCAGTCTTGGTAACATCCTGGTAAATCTTTTCCGCACCCTTTCCAATTTCATTATATCCTTCCTATAACAGCAGGGCGACCAGAACTGTACATGTAGTCCCAAAGAGGCATCACCAACATCCTGTACAATCTCAGCATGATATCCCAACTCCTAAAGGTCACAAGGTCTGAGCAATGAATGCAAGTGTGCTAAACTCCTTCTTAACTACCCTGTGTACATGTGACGCAAATTTCCAAGAATTATGTACCTGAGCCCTTAGGTGTCTCTGTTCTACAACACCACCCTGGGCCCTACCATTAATTGTATAAGTCCTGCCCTTGTTTGCTTTACCAAAATGCCTGTCTCGCTCATATCATGAGTATCTATTCTGTTGCAAAACTGATGTCTGTTTGGCTTATTTGATGGGAAATGCTGCAGAGTCTTAATATTTCAGGACAGCCTTAAAGGACTGAGTTGCCTACTCCCGTTAGGCTGACACGGAAGATGAAACAATAGCCATCTTGTTGCATCTGGGGGTGAGGCTATTACAGGCGCAAGAGTGTTTGCTTATTTAGTGACTCTGTGTGACGGTCTGTATTGAGTGCAAGTGTTCTTCATGTTGTTCACTGCTTTAATGTAAAGGACATGAATTTGTTAATCCTTCTAACACGACCTTTAAAAGTTGCTAATTATTTCTTTTTGTTTGTTTTTGTAGGAGGTGACCATCTCTGCCTGCCAAGCTGGACACTTAACTATGGAATGCATTTACCTGATTATCCCATGCCTAAAAAACTCTATTAACACTACGCAGAGAAGCATTAGTTAGCAGTGAGACATCTCTGAATACTACTAAGCACTTTTCCAAAAGAAGAAAACAGTTTACAGAAGCCTGTCTTGTGCGTTTTGAGTGAGAGCACGCGCGTGTGTGTGTGTTTGTTTCTTCAATTCCCTTTTCTGTGCACATACTTGGGGGGGGGGGGGGGAAAAGAAATCCCAAAAATGATGCTGGAGAATTACTTGTGGATGGTGATAGTGGGCTTTATAATAGCCTTTATCCTTGCTTTCTCTGTGGGTGCGAATGATGTAGCCAATTCGTTTGGTACTGCTGTGGGCTCTGGTGTTGTGACACTTCGCCAGGCCTGCATCCTGGCTTCCATTTTTGAAACAACCGGATCTGTACTGCTGGGAGCAAAGGTCGGAGAAACTATCCGGAAAGGGATCATAGATGTTAACCTATACAATGGGAGTGAGCACGTGCTCATGGCTGGCGAAGTCAGTGCAATGGTTGGTAAGTAACCTGTTTTTTGATATTATTGATGCTAGCTGGATTTTTGTTTGCACTTAAAAGGAAAAAGTAGTTTAAACTGTATAAGCAGAGAGTGAGAATTAAAAGAGACTTCATCTAGGAACATTAGAGAAATATGATCTGATTGCAGTGTGCCTGATGTGACTGCAGTCTGCTCAAATAAATGCATAATTTCCTTGTTGTTCTTGCCTCTTTTTATAATGCTGTAAGAACCTGTTCCCTCTGAAATGCCAGTCCTTCACCCTCACAACCCCCTTCCCGTTGCAAAGAAACTTTCAAGTGCAAGCCTCAAATAAGAGGCTACATATGTTTTTTGGTCTCGTGAAGCAATTAAGTACAAACTCCTAGCAACATCTGCTTGTATTCATTGTCCATTGTTGAACCCTTTCTGGCCTTTGTTTAGATGTCATAGGAGATGTACAAATTGTACAATGAGCCTGCTGGTAAGGGATCTATGTAAGAAAGCCACAGGCATATATCTGTAGTTTTCTTGTGTGATCACTTAAAGTGTTCATCTGTTTAGAAGGACTCGGCAGACATTCGATTAACTATATTCACTGGAAGCCGAATCTCCACGGTATTATGCTTATCACTGCAGTGTTGATTTTATATTTTGCTTTTCTATGATGAGTCTGACTGATATCTCCACATCATACACACTGTACAGCAGTATATAAGATTTACTTTGCATCCCTTCTCTCTACAGTTGAAATCATTCAGTAAAAGTCTGTCTGATCTTTACTCTTAGTCTTCTCTAGACCTCCAGTGCATTGATATGGTAGTGCTCATGATGCTAGATTTAGTGCTAAACCAGAAATGTGATGTCAGATTCCACCATGGTAAATTGTGAAGGTCAGTTTTATATTTTAAAAAAAAATGACAGGATGTTGACTAATCCTCTCCTCTTAGAAGCAGTTGTCATGTCTAGCTGGTGTTCTGTGCATGTGATTAATTTCCAACATTGGTGTTAAACCTTAATGCCCTCTGAAGGAGCTTTTTGATTGTAAAAATAATTAAGATTGTTTTTATTGCAAAGTAGTGGACTATGTCCTTTTTGAAGGATGGATGGACATTAGTATTGACATACATAAAGTTAAATTATAAGAATGTTCAAAAGTGGATTTTCCAGAGGTATCTTTGAGGTGGTTTATGGAGGGAATTAGAGCAAAGGGCTTGGAAAGTCTATTGTCACTATTTTTCATTCTGTACCCGAATTTTGGTTTCTATTGCCATTAGTTCGAAATGATGTTTTTGCACACACTTATGTTTATATTTCTTGCTTCAAATCTCACTGTTGTTAGCTTTTACATTATTCTCCATTCTGTTGCAAATGTAATTCCCTTGCTTTTGCATTACAATTCTCTAGCCAAGACTAGTTTGATTGACAGACATTTTGTTTTCTTTTACAATTTTGTCATCACGAATAGCTACTACATTCTGCAATAATTGTAGCTGTTTAATTATATTGTGTTGATTCTTCATTTTGCTTTTGAAGCTTTTAAAGACATACAGCCAGCAGTTAGACAAGTCTTCTTTTCCTTTCCTATCAGGATAGCAATTTACCACCTGAGTATAGGCATTCAGATAGAGGTAAACAGGTTGTATTTACCTGAATAATTGCAACATTTAACCTAAGTGACCCTTGCACTATGAGTTCCTGAATGTTGTTGGAAGACCTTGCCCACATCTGCATTTTTTTTTTTTTTTTTTTTTTTTTCAAATGATTTGGTACAGACAGCTTGCCCTTTTCTTTCAAAAAAAAGGCAGTTGGTATCTTGAAAGGGAGCTGGGCACATTGTATTGCTGCCATGCATGTTATTACAGACTGAATAGCTGGGTAAACAAAAGGATACATTAATGCTGGGTGTAGAGATGGTGACTTTGGTGATGCAGGTAGACAGGAAGAGAGCATCCGGTGGGGAGCTAGAAGACCCTTTAAGGCACCCACCAAAGAGACTGGGATCAAATGGCCAGGGACATTGGCTTGGAGTCTGGGCTCTAGGAATTGGTGGTAACAGTATCACAGAAGGCTAATGATTGGCAAATGGGCTGTCAACATCAATGAAAGTATCTTTATCTGCCTATTCCACTCCATGAAACCTCTCCTGCTACTCTTGTCCATCACACTCCAGTCCCTGGCACTCGGGTCTTGTGTGTAATCTCCTAATTGTATCTGCACACCTGCTGTTGCTGCTAACCTCCCACCAGCCCCTCTGCCTCTGTGTAACTCAAATTTATTGAGGTGTGGTAGGTACATGCCTCCAATACTAGGCTGCAGACACATATTGATGTTTCTGCCCTCTTTTGCAGTGTAAGAAGGGAGCACAGCAATTCCTAGCAGGGACAAGGAAACTTCTTCCTTTTGAACCCTATGACAATGATGAGAACAGTGTTAACAGGGTTTGTAGCACCTGATCTCATTGAGAGCATCAAAAATGACAACACCATCCTGCCTTATGCTCTTCCAATAGTTTCAAACACCCAAGAACTACCATGTACACAGCCACAAGCTCCAGGAGGTGAAAAACTAGCAACAACAATTAGCCCTGATGTGAATGCTGCAAGCATACTGGCAGTGCAGAAACCTTGGCATGGGATTGGTATCAGCATGTGGGGAACTGAGTGGATTTCAGCCAAATGAGGAATAAAAATGATGGGTCATTTGCCAATTCACAAAAGGGCAGTAAGTGCTGCTGCAGAGGTGACAAACAGGATAATGTTGCATTTCATTGCTTTTTAATTGTCACTTTATCTCGGTCCATTTTGCAGCTTTACTTTTTTAGTTGCTGAGTAAATAATGCTGATGCCATTTGGATATTTTATTGCCTAAATTTGAGATCACGGTGGTGTACCAGCTGGTCAAGCTATGAGACACCAGGATATCTCTGAAACTGACCCTTGTTTTGAATGTACACAAAGGGTACATTTATGCACACTGGCAGAACACCATGTGGGAAACGTAGGGTGGAATGAGTGCCACCACAAGTGGCAAAATCTTTGTGGGCAAGAGTATTTCTAGCCCACACTCTACCAATTTGTAATAACTTTTGCTGCATTCAGTCATTCAAGTAGGAGATACTGACTGACTTTCTCCTCTGTCTGCAACACACTCAACACATTAAATCTACACTACAGAAATCAACCGTTTGCTCAACTGCTCCATTCTGTTCTCTCAAGCTTTCTTTCACTGTACCCACTTTGTCCCTGAAATTCCTCTATCTCCATTCCCTTTTCCCTCCTGTATTCAAACTGAATGACATGCTTTATTTGCTTCATGTTTTAATTAATGTCTGTGTAATATAGCAATAGCTGTTCAAAACTATATTTGTATTAATGCTGTCTTTGGTCTGTGTTCAGTCTTGAGTGAAAATATTTTCTTCTTATCCTCCCTGTTAAACCCAGTCATAATTTTAAATATTCTGCCAGAAATCCTCTTAGTCCTTCTGCTGAGTAAAGAACTCCAGCTTGCTCAGTTTTTCCTGTTGTTCCAGGTGTGCAGATCTTGAGCTTATTTGCTGGGTTTTATTTTGTGTTGAATGATGCCATTCCAGGCACAACCTGCCAAAATACGAAGTGTGAGAAGTCAGAGGCTGGGAATTCTGTATCAAGTGGCTCACCTCATGTCTTTACACTCTGAACAAGGTCCAGGTCAGAAATCTGGAGCACACCGTTTTCCTGGATGGGCAAAGCTGCAATGCTTGAAGCTCTGCACATCCTGAACTGAACTTTCTTCGATGTTGCCACCATTTAAACTCCTCATCCAGTGCCAGTGAACTGTGACTGAAGTATGTACGTTCCACAGGATGTACTGAAACAACTCGACATTGACATCACCCCACTCCCCTGAGCCTCAGCTGCTAAGGTCAAGGGTAATACAGTCATGAAGGGGCCAACTCGTCCAAGTCATTGATCATCTCAACTTGACCAAGAAAGTCACTTTGACATGTGTTCAAAATCGTTATACCTCTTGTTAAGGCCATAATTGGAGCACCTTTCCCACAAATATTGGAGCAGTTCAGGGTGGGGAAGGGCACCATTTTATTGGCAGCAAATACATGAGTGGCCGTGTGTGAACAAAACTTTAAAAACTTTTTTTTTATTGAATTTTTGTATTTTGTTCACCCTGAATCAATTTCTCTATGTATAGACCAACTGGAAAGTGTTTCCTGAATGCTAGCTTCACTTCATTTTGAAGTGATTTTGCAACTAGAAAATAACAAATGGTGCTTGTCTTCTTTTGAGAGTTATTTGAACAAGACCAAAGGGTCTGTTTCTTTGCTGTATGACTCAATGTCTGTAATGTCAGCGAGTATCAACTGCCAAACTTCAGACTGCATCATTGTTGCAGATATCCAACAAATGCTCAGAAACTGGGTCCCCTGTAAGACCTTCTCTTTTGCTCTCAGCTCCAAGATCTACCACTTCTTCCTGGTCATGTACACCGTGCAGAAAAGCAGGAGACTTTGGTTTGGACAGATTTGATTTGGGTTGACAAAACATCCTAACTTGTTCAATGTTTCACTCTCCGAAATCAGCATGTTTTTTTTTATTTAAATCTGATTTTACTGAAGAAACTTGGAATCTAGAATGAGGAAAATGTAAATGGAACCATACTATAGCATTGCTTAATCTTCTGGAATTAGCGTTATAAGTTTTCACCAAACCGTGTTTCATAACTATTCGTTTGTATTCTCTGGAATAAACATTACGTTTTGGCCTTTCACTGTTGGCTGTTTATAGTAACCCAACCTTGTTGAGTGTGGTCATCTTCTGGAATGGTTATTCAGAATGATGCTGTGGATTATGTGGACTGACTAAATTGGGGTAACAGAGAGAGGGGTGTCCTAAGCAAAGTATGCTCGGAGAAGAATTTCCTCAGAGTGGTGTGAGAATCCAGATCAAGGGAGCTCAGTATTAGAATTAAAGCTGTGTCATACAAGAGATAAATCAGGAACCACTTGGAATCCAAGGGCCCAAACGTA